CCCCCTTGGTCTCCCTTCTTCCCCTGGGACCCGTTTTTGGAGTATTCTCCACACTGCAGTGAGACACTGCTGTGAAAGCATCAATCCCTTCCCTCGACTCAGAACAGACCTCCAGGTCCTTTGCAAGCTGAGAGGCCTGTACAACGTCTCCTTGACTCTCTTTCTGGGGAAGGGCGCCTTGAACACGCTGTGGGAGACACTGCTGCCCGCCCAGTGTCCCAGGACTGCTCCGTCAGGCACCCCTCTGGCCGCGGTCATAGGCAGCTATGTGACTTGCTTTGACTGATGGGGCATGGAAGGAAGTTCCTGCATCACTCTGATTAGAGCCCTGAAGAGCCAGCAGGCTGGCAACGCTCCATCCAGATGGGGCCGCCCCCCAGCTGGCCCTGAGTGATGACAGCGAAGGGGGTTGCAGCAGCCCTCAATGGACATGTCCGGGGAGGGCGAGAAGAGCTGCCCATAGGTCAGGGTTGTTTCCACAGCACAGCCTGGTGCCAGCCTATTTTGATCCACAAGGCTAACCTCATTCTCGCCTCGGGGAATTTACCCCACCATTCCCTCTGCCTGGAAGTGCCCCCCGCCCCGTTCTCCTCCTGTTCTTCCAGCTGGTCAGCGGTGACAGCACCGTGTATTAACTACTCTGTTCCTTCCTTACCACACTGATACACCGCAAGTTTCAAGTGAGCTATGTCCAACATTTTCACTGTTGCAAACAAGCTAAGCAAGAGCAGGACAGATAATACGCAGATTCCATTTATACAAAATTCAAAAACAGGGAAAACTGTGATGTTTAATGAAGCTTATGCAGATCGTAAGATAATAAAATCAACGCGATGACGCACATGTTGAGAGCTGTTCCCTCTGGGAGAGGAAGAGTTTGAGGCCGTGACAGCTGATCTGGTGCTGGCAGTGTGCTGCTTCTCGACCCAGGTGGTTCATGCGAGGATGTTCACTTTCTCATTGTTCCTTAATCCAGACTTACACGTTCAATACTTTGCTGTATGCATCCGCATCTCATTAAAAATATGACAAACATGGAGCCAGCTAAGAGATACAACATAAGCATGATTGGAAATCTCCTACCAAAACAAACAGAACAAATTAAGTATTTGATATCATTCATCCTCAAATTCCTAGAATAAACGCCACTTAATTGTGGCAAATTTACTTTAATATGCTGCTAGATTGTTTGCCAACATCACACTGAGGGTTTCTGCATCCATATCCAGAACTCAGACACCCCCGTAGTTTTTTGTGTGTCCCACTTTTGTGAGGTTTTCTCAGTATCACACTCACTTCATGTAGAGGATTTAGAAGCTGTTCACTCTCTGATTGGAAAAATAAGCAGCACCGATTTGGGTCAATGAGCCGTAAGATGCTGGCTGTTTTGGGGGAAGAGGGCCCTTCCTCAGGCCTGGCCTGCACCTGCGTCTGCATTTAAGGCCCCATAAGGCCCAGAGAGGCTGCAGCCACTTGCTATTCACCCGAGGTGATACAAACCCCATGCGGGGCGGAGCCCAGAGCCGACTGAGAAACAAGGCTGGAGCCAGATACAGTCAGACGTCCTCATACCTCTGGGCACTTCTAATTACACAGCCAGTACGGCCTGTATTGTCATCGCTCAAATTAGTTCTCCGTGCTGTCGCTGACCAGCGCTGGGACAGCCTGGTCAATTTACTTAATATTTCCAAAGCTCTTTCCTCCTGTTTCTCCCAAGGTTACCTGGATTAAGTGGGATTAACGAGGTCCCTTTTCTTCCTGCTTTGTTCCATGTCCCCTATGACTCCCTTGCCTGAGTTTGGATAGGCAAGGAAGGGAATCTGTTTTGCCTTCCAAAGCCTTCAGGTTCTCATCCCCAGGCCCCAGACAGGCCCCGCCCGCATCCTAAGCTGCCGGTGTGGCCCTGAGCGAGCTCTCACCACAGCTGTCTGAACTGCCTGTTCTACTGAGCATCCATTTCTCAAAACTGGAGCCCTTGCTTGGTTTTGCCCTAGAATGCCAGCTGGAAATTCTAAGTGCTAACTAGGCATTTATTCCACTTTGCTCACTTTTGGCATGACATATGTGCCGTAACCCCGATCGTGCTGGCCAAGCCTGTGGCTGCCAAACCTTGGACCCAAAGAAATACAAAAATAATACGAAAACGGGAGTTGTTCACAGAGCTGAGCTTAATCAGGGGTTGTCCTTTTCTGAGATTGTAGCGTGGAAAAGTCCTTGCAAACTGAAGTATGCAAGGTTCAAGTATCTGAGGCTTCATTACAATTGTCTCCACTTTTGTTTGTTTAAAAATTTCTGCAATAAAAAATGAAAATGGGGGCCAGCCCAGTGGTGCAGCGATTAAGTTTGCACATTCTGCTTCGGTGGCCCAGGACTTCACCAGTTTGGATCCCAGGTGCAGACATGGCACCGCTTGGCAAGCCATGCTGTGGCAGGTGTGCCACATATAAAGTAGAGGAAGATGGGCATGGATGTTAGCTCAGGGCCAGTCTTCCTCAGCAAAAAGAGGACTGGTGGCAGATGTTAGCTAATCTTCCTCAAAAAATAAAATAAAAAATTAAAAACAAATAAAATGCTCTTTCAGCAAATGATGGTGAAACTTGGTGAGAACAATTTAAAAAGTCTCACTTGGCAAAGTGCAAGATACAGTTCTATGTTGACGACCAGGTTTGTTTCTCTGGGAGAATTCACATGGTCTGTGAAATCCACAAGCCTGGGAACCCTGGACTAAACAAAGCCAAATCTAATTAGGGTCAGCCACACTTGAGCCCCACGTGACATCCAAATGCACCAAGGCCTTAGTCTGACTTCCCATTGCAAAGGCTCTAGAAGCAAACTTGCAATGCTGTTGTTTCTGTCCTTTGCATCAAAATTCTTTGTTTTGAGAAATGATTTTCAGTTTTACCCGCTTTTGGTAAATAAGGAATCTTGAATTGAGAAGTGACAATTAACCACTGAGTTTAGACAGTGCAATTTCCACATCACTAATCCTTCCTTCAATACTAGTTCATTCAGAGGAAGAGAACTTTCTCCAATTAGTGGGGCACTGCTAACTCCATTCATCCATGCTGGAAATGTTTAAAGTGATTTCTAATTACTCTACACACACGCGCCTGTCAGCTCATCTGTTATGCCTACTGGGTCAAAACAGCAAGCAGAAAACCTGCTGCAAGGAGGAGCTGAGTTACTTGACACGACTGCTGGACAGGACGTGCTGACACCTGATCCGGAGTTCATTCCCGCAGCTGTCCTCCACTTGGTTTCAGTCTTGACAGATGTAACATTCAGGACAAGAAACGTTTTACAGTGATATCTGGACCTGAACTCATCACAAATCACAATCATTTCAAGTGGCTTTCTTCCCCTCTTGAGAGAGACCTCCTTCGACCCAGGGCTGTGTGAAAGCCGGCACTCCCTCTGCCGTGGGCGGACTGCAGGGCCGGTTATGCGGCTGCTCTTTGCCGACCGCAGGCCACGCATCCCAGGACCAGCGGCGACCTGGTGGGCCTCTTTGGGCCCAACCCCCCGGACTCTTCTGTCCAGACCTGCGCCTGGCACGGAAGGAGGCGCAGGCAGGGTCCTGCTCCAGTCCGTGAGCTCGTCTTTCCGACTTCAGTGGTGATCTTTAAAGACACTTTCGATGGCATTTTCACTTACGTTTTAGAGAGACTTGCACAGAAAAAGGTGATTCTAATCAAAGTTACAAAACACAAAATAAAATTGTCACCACATTCCTTCCTTCAGATGCAGTGGAAATGACTCAATAATCTCCATGACTGCAACCAAACTTAGGTAGAAAAATGGAAGGATTGGTACTTTCTGGGGGGAGGGGGGATGAGATGATTTAAAACAAACGTCCTAGATCACCTTAAAACTGACACTACTTCACCCCAAATCACCTGCCCACTATTGTAAAAAAAATAATTTCGACAGACACCAAACCTGAATAAAACTAATGTTCCATCGCTAGAATCTCTCTGGAGCTCATCCGAACTGACTCCCATGAAATAAGCTGATCCAGTCAGTAGCACTGCCTTCAAATCCTCAACAGCTGTGCAGCTGCAGCATGGTGGTCTCCTCTCCATGCCCAGCAGAGCTCACAGGCCGGCACACCCCGTCCTGGGACCCCAGCACCACAGCCGCCCAGAGTCTGCAGGTCTGTCACAATGAAGCACGCAGACGCCTGGTAACGGCCTGAGAGGGTCACTGGGATCAGGTTTTGGCTTGCCTTTAGGTATGAAGTTCTCCTAAGAAAAACTCTTCACTCCCAGCTGAGGGGAGGCATGAACCTGGAACAAGCCAACAGCTGTCACGAGTCACACTGCCAGCATGCAGACCACCCCGAGTCACGACAAGGAAGACAGTTTAGGGAACGCGACACCAAACAGGGAAGTTCTACAGAAAGGCAGGTCTGCATTAGAGGGCTTCTGTGTCTCCTGTAACCTAGTTGAGCAGTGATGCTGCCATCACTTATGACAGAACATGGAAACGCGACGAGCGGCTCCCGCGCTACACAAAGCACACTCCTGCTTTCTCTCCCACTCACGTTTCAGGAACGCACAGCAGCTCTGGAAGGAAAACTAGAAATCTCATGGGTATGTAAGAAAAATGTAACACAGACGGGGTCCACTGACTGCATTTTCTCAGAAAGATGAGCTGTCCTAGCAATGCCGGCACAGTCCAGTTACGTCTCAGCAATGATTTACTCATTAGTAAGGAAAGGGACTTCAACACGCTCCCCACACCAGGCTACTCACAGCCTCAGCGAGAACGCGGGATCACTGCTAATATGCAGACAAGGAGAAACAGATTTGACTTCCCCCATATGAATTTTCCCTCTGCTGGGTGTTTTATTTCACATCCTGGTTTTAAAACACAGTGTCGTTCATCCTCCAAGTGACTGATGGATACTAACCTTCACCTCAAGGACTGACGATGTGCAGGTCTGCAAAGGAAGAGATTTAAAAGAACCACTTTCCACAAGAAATAAGTTACACCAAGAATACTGTTGTCACTACAAATTTTATTCAGAAACCCATCTTTGTTTTTTTTTGTTGTTTTTTAAAAAAATTCCCATTATGAACTGGTTTGGTCAATCAACTACAACACTTTCTAGCAGACATACGGTAAAAACGGCATGGCTCAGAATCGCCCAGATCTTTCACGATCTCTCGACCGCCTCCGGTCACGCTCCCGTCCCCCACCGCCTCCACCGCCGCCGCCGCCACCACCGCGACCACGGTCCCGAGACCGCGAGCGACGCTCCCGAGACCGGGACCTCGATCTATGCCTGCAAGCAAGGAAAAGAAACAAAACCATGGCACCCAGGCCAACACACACCCAAATCACAGTGCCCAACACTCAAACACTCCCTTTCACTGAGCTGACGACACCAGCGCCGATTCACACCAACGCCAGTTCACAGCTGCACACCCAGACGCTAAGACGTGCAAGTGTCAGGGCAAAAAGGGCATCTCAGAACCGAAGAGGTCCGACAGCCTCCATATTCTGTAGCGCCAACAAAGGATCCGGGGAGATCATAACGAAAAAGGTGAACTGGACGTACCCATCCCTCACCCTCACCTGACACCAGTGTCAGTTTCCTCCCCAGCCCAGTCCCTGCTCAGAGGCTCATGGGCTGAGGTGTCCATCAGGCTGAGTGGGGGGAGAAGGGGGAGGAAGCAGGATTCTTTTCCCTTATGCTTCTTTTTGTTGACAAAGCAGAATCAGGAGCAACATCTGCCTTTCCTTATTTATGTGTAACAGGAGAGGGCTGAGAACCTCCCTGGGGTCAGAGCTGAAACTAAGCAGGAGAGTGACTCATTATTCTCCCCAATACCTGCATGGAAACACCAGGACCAGACAGAGGTGACCGTGCTCAACTGTGCCGGTGGTCCACAGGGGCGAGGCCACCACCCCTCTCCAAAATCAAACCAAGGAAACCTCCCCAATCCAAAAAAAAACAAGAAACCCCAAGGGAAACGTGCAGTATGTAAAGGAAGGCACAGCACCCGACCCGGAGCGTACAGGCCGCACACACGAGCCGCATTTTCAGGTCACCTGCTGAACCAGGCCCCTGCTTAGTCACTGAGGTTGATCTCTACTTGGGGAGGAGGGAGAGGTATGCATACAAAGTCTACTTCAAAGAGTAGGTTTGTGTGCTTTAAAATATGCACTACATTCTAAGCAGTGCCTTTTAAAGAGCAGAAATAACAGGCCAAACTTCATTTGAAAACAATAACAGCAATTCAAAGCTACGACAGACCCACTGCAACACTCACTTCTTGCGCCGGCGCCCGTACAGCTCCCGCCGCAGCTCCCTCGAGATGGGCTTCAGGTGCATGAAGTTGCAGAAGCCTCCTCGTGTGCACTCTCTGAGGGAAAGAACCACCATCGTTACGTCAGTGCACAGCACACTAGCTTCCCAACAACGAGGCAGCTCCAGGCTGCCCACACCTACCCCATCTCATACTGGCGGCAGCAGGCTTCTCTGAAGTCGGTCACGGGAGAGAGCTCCGCATGGATCGGCTGTCCGTTAAACCAGCGGTTGTTCAAGTCAATCACAGCCTTTTCCGCATCTTCTTCACGGCGAAACTGAAATGATAAATCAAGAATGCTTGCCACCACACTTTAATAACAAATGTTTTCAATTACTGATGCAAATATGTTATATGTTCATGTACGTAAAATAAAAAAGGCAGAGTAATGTTGTACAGCAATTTAAAAACCAGACAATCCTTTCTTTACAATTAGCTTACTTAATTTTGTGATGGTCCAAGATTATGCCAACTATGTTGCCTTGGTTTTCAAATTCGATTGGTTAAAAGAGCAAATGTAATGACTGGCATAGGCAATGAAAGTTTTATTAAAACAAAACCAAGAACATATAAAGCAACTTCTCCCCAGTACAAACAGCCTCTAACCAACAGCGATTAAGATATGTGACACCAGAAGAACCATGAGCACGGAGGCCCGTCAGTCCTTCTACTCGAGCTTCTATCTCCTACGGGCGTCCAGCCAGGAAAGGGCCGAGTCAGTGCATGCAGAGTCGTGAATAGTACCAACGTCAAGGTTAACAGCTAACAAAGCACAGCAAGCACCCCTTACACCTCACTCCTGACTCCTACCTTGACATACACATTTCCAACGAGGTGATCGCCAAGGTTATCACAGACGTTCATCTCCTCAACTTCACCGTACTTCTCCTCCATTTCTGTAAAAACCTCCTGGAGGAGGGACAGTGGTGTTAGGCTCATGACACATTAAAGATGAAAGAGTAATTCAACATAATTCACGGGTAAGTATTGTTTTTAATGAGGAAAAATGAACTCCTCCCAAACAGATAGAGAAAGTGAACAGGTCTATCAGTTTCAAATAGTCAATGATCTCACCTCGAAAAACTCATCATAGTGTTCCTGCATCTCGACGTCGCTCACAGCACCTGCAGACAACAGAAATCTGGCTGGTTAGAGCAGGGCACGGGACCTGAGAGAGCTCGTGCTTAAACTCACACTGCTACAGTAACACACATGAGGTTATCTAGAGAGAAAGCACAACAGAGTTGCATTCTCGTGGAGCACTGCAGATACTGCATTACACAGCCAGTTGTTAAAATTGTGAAGTGTGGTGACATTTTTAAATGCCCCTTATGACAGTCTCAATTCTGGCTATTAAAATATTAAAACCACAACAAATTTTAATCAGCATCAAAGGGCCACATTTTCAGAAAGAGTGAGGAAAAAGTTGACTCTCAAGAAATTTTTAAATGAGAATTTTCTTCCTTTTAAGATTTAAAATAGAGGCCAAGTAACCACACTGATTTCCCCCCTTTATTAGGTTAAAATGACAGCTGAAAGGAGGGTAAGCGATTCAGAGCTTATGTTCCTGACTAGTTTATTTTACAGATTATCAGCCACACAGAATGCCAGGAAATTCTTTCTGATGTGATTAAAACCCAAATGACCATCAATAAAGACTCAGTAGAATTACCAAGTTCAATTACAGTATTCTGAATGCCCTCTGAATAAAGGGAAAGTTACAATGCTTTGTTCAGGAAAGCATTCTTATTTTATATTCCAAAACTAATTTCATCAAGTTCATTCTTCTTCATAATTCACATGCACTAAGTGAAGTCATGTCCACTGTGTGGGTAGATTTTGCAAATTTACATTCTATCCCCATTGTCATTCTCTCTACCAAATTTTACCATTCGAATTCTAGAGTTCTCTTAACCTAAATCTGAGAAATCACAAAGCTGGTGTGTCAATAAACTGATGCTCCAAACACTAGATCGGGAGCCCACCCAGCGGCAGCTTCAAAGTGGGCCAGCTTACTCTTCAAGTGTCCCCTTCCACAGCCACATTCCTGGACTGTGGCCTCCTCTGTACACCCCACCAAGGGCATCTGGGCTGTGGCATATCCCAGACTGTGCTTTTGAGAAATTTCCTGGCTCTCTCAAAAACCTTTTTATCTTCAAGGATAAGAACTAACTTCAATCTTTTGATTCTGAGAATAATTTAGTTCACTTTCTGGCCCATGGATGGCTCCCTGCATTTCAGTTATTTTTGAATTTCCAGGAATGTGGCTTGCTTTAGAACTCAACACTGAACGCATCAGGCCACAACTGCTCCTCTCGACAGCCCGTCCCAATTTAAAAGCTGCAGGAACGATCCCCTTTCCTGAACAGAAACCAAGTACTGAACAAGAGAAAACCTCGCCAAGAGAAGCCCATTCCAAAGGGCAGGTTTTAAGGTTTAAAATTAACTGCCTTCTCGACCTCAGAAAAAATGAGAAGAGAAAAAACAAATCCACATGCTCCAGGTCGTAGCAGGATTGAGAATCAAGTTTTGGTGGTGGTTAAAACACTGGCTGAAATCATGATATTTCTATCATTACCATATACCATAGAATCTTGTATTTTAATAGCTTCTGGAAAGTTCATATTTGAAAATGCTTGATCGTGGGCATATTTTATCTTCTATGCTCTGCTTAAAACTTATGAGTCAATCCAAATGACTTGAAAGGCAGAGATTGACAAAAAAACAAAAATTACCTACATGACTCAATATATTTTAAATAATACAACTTGAAAAATACACAGTTTTCTTACAGAAACATTCTTAAATTGGGACTCATATTTAAGTTTAATCTAAGCATAGAAAGCTTATTTTTCTACAGATGAAAGGGTATGTTAAAAAACAGCCAGTAATTTTAGGAAATTAAGGAACCTAGCTGGTTGAAATTTTATTGGAAGGCTCTGATGCCAAATACTTCTGGTTTACCAACTTAAACTGATTTTCTTCCTAGATTGTAGAATGAGAATTTCATTTAATTTGTACAATCTGGACCCCAGAATTGGAATATTTTGCACAGCTAAACTTTTATTTTGTAGCATACACAAAACAAGAGTACTGTGAATCGCAAATAAAGACACAAAGAAAACTAATACAACATTCTTTTGTCAATAAAGCATACGCAGTCCCCAAATAAACAATGAGGGCAAAGAGTTATTAATTGTTGTTCCTCAGTCACCCACTTTTCACTCATTTTTACCCCAGGGCAGGCTGTTAAAAATATCATTATTAAGTCCATATATAAACATTACCCTCCACCTATTGATCTTAAAAAACAAAACAAAACAAAACCTAGGTATTTTAAACCATCAGATTTAGGGAAAGAAATGAATTCCCTACTATGAGGTCAGTATTAGCATCGAAAAACATCTAGTGTCTTGTGAGAAAAAACTTCCCAGCCCCTCCCCCGCAGAGACAAGCGCCAGTGCACTCGCAGGTGCGGAACCGGGAGGCCTCCCAGTTTGGGGCTGGCTCCAGTGGGTGGCGCCCGCTCGGACCATTTCACCCTATAAACTGAGGGCTCACGGTCAAGGGCGCATTGGTAGGTCTGTGGCTATCCGGGGGTACTTCTGATAGTGCCTTCTCTTAGTTTTTACAGCTTTAACATCAGTCGGTGAGGAAGAAGCATCTACCTTTGGGTTTGGACCTCTTGGTTTTAGCAAGAGTCCAGGATGTTCATTTCAATTTATCCATATGACTAAATTGATTCTACAGCTCAGTAGCTATAAAATTTAACTTTCAGTTTTTTGAACTTTCCAATGAAACTACTATGTATCCTGTTCTCTAAAAACTAGCCCTCAGTAAATACAATATTCCTAACTTCAATCCGGTACTTCTCAATAGAGGAAGAAATCATAATATCTATTGAACACCCACTTGAGAGCTAGTTCCCCACCAAGGACCCCGTATTTTCCAAATGCAGTACACTAACTCCTGAGGCTGGAGACCTGCATAAAGCATCTGATTAAAAACCGAGTCGGCACAGGGCTGGTGTCGAGGAAAACTGGGGGCTCAACGCAACTCGGAGGACCCTCACTTGGGAAACATCCTCAGAGCGAGGCTCTCACAATGAAAGCATGATCTCCAAAACAGAGTTTAAGGGAAAAATGTCTAATAAGAAAGAAAATCTGAAAAATAATTTCAGAATGACTGGTTTTAAAGTGAGAGAGAGTTCCCAATACTGCTGCTCTGAAGTGGGAGAGCACCCGCACAGTCACGCCCAAGCTCGCTCTCCCTGGGACGGCGGGCGGAGCGAAGCGAGAGCAGCTCTGGGCTAGTGCAAAGGGCGCCCTTTCCAGTCACTGTCTCCTCAGATCGGGGGGCAGGAGTCACATCTCAAGCAGCGGTTTCCACAGGGCCATGGGACAAAAGCTCTCGACACCTCTAGAGAAAGGCGGTCCTTGACACTACAGCGCAGACCAGGTGGAGCTGACACTGAGCTCTGACACGCAAGCCCAGGGGACCAGGGAAGGAACTTGTATGAACTTACAGCGCAAACCGTCAGCAGACTGGGAAGAGTTTTGAGGGTTACGGTAAATGTTCAAGAGGGCAATGGTCTGAAATACAAAACGCAACAACTTTATATTACGGAAAATTAAATTTAAACACTTAACCGGTTTCCTGTGGCGATCGCTTCAGTCAAGACTCAGTGCTGAAAAAAGAGCAAGTTATTTTCTTTTGAAGCAGAGATGTTTTCTCTTAGTTGATGGCTGTCTTGGAGCACCCTAACACTGCAATGTGACAGAGATCCCATGATATGCTAATATTGTATTTCTGGTCACAGAATGGAAAAATTCTCCACTTCAAAGTTCCAATCCAATTAAAAGTGCAAATAACTCGGCAGGCTACCACTGCAGTATTCTTGGATGCTACAGAAAACTTTTAATCAACAACTGAGAGAGAAAAGTGCCTGTATAAACGGATGGCAAAATTACTGTATTAGAGAAATACAATAATTACATATCATGAAATCTCCACTTCCTAGAGGAAAAATTATAATGGTGAAATAAAACCCACACTTATTGGGCAACTTACCTTATTGCTTCCTAAATATTCCTAAGATTTTTAATTTTACAGAAAGAACTTAATAAATGCCAGGGGTTCAGTCACTGTGAAGACCAATGATGGGCTGATACTGTTCAAATGTCACATGACGGACCCCTCTCATTAACAAGTGTCAATCAAGGGAAGAGGCCCGCCAGTGACCTTCCCTAGGACAGCCTCCTGAACGTGGCCAAGTATCGAGTTCTTGCTGTAGGCACCAAGGACTTCCAGCACCTTGTCCTGTTTGCAACAGCTCTATGTCAGCAGCTCAGAAGCCAACATTGTTTGTCTCAATTAAGAGTGGGCTCTTTAACACCATTGTTTTAAAAAAATTTCTCCAACTGTGGGACTTACAGTGTGAGCCGTCAGCCGTCTGTGCACTGTTTTGGGGATTACGATAGATGTTTTGAATCAAGATGGTCTGCGGGGAAAAAAAAATAAAAAGGGGAATTCTACTGGCTGCTGTGCATATATTAGACAATTGCAAAGAGACAACTTGTTTGCAAATGGCTAAACGCTTGTTTGCTTGTTTGTTTCCCGCAAGTCAGACACGTGTCTTCTGAAGAGAATACCCAAACCATCATATTATGAAAACAGAGTTGGAGCAGTGACTTCGGTCAAGTCAGCCAGCAACCAAGAAGAAACTGTAATTGTTACTTAGAGTAGTCCCACGTTATTAAAGTGTTTTAATGTAAGATAAATAATAGAATGCTAACATTTTCTTATACTTCAAGCTAGCAGACACCAAGATGTCGGAAAATTCACATATAATCATATTCCCCATACAAAATTACTTTTTTAAAACCAAATGCGTAACTCTACTGTATGCAGCCCATCAAGCTCTCTGGTCTTGTAGGAAACAGGCACACCACATGGGTTTCCTAACTCTCATGGACACCTATCATATTTACATTTTCTTGGTGGGATCTCTGTTTACATAATACAATAGCTTAAAACATTTGCTCTTTTCCGATCCTTCTTTTAAGGGAAAAAATCCTTTTAGCCCTTGTGCTTTAAACTGGATCAGGCAGACTTGAAACCTTACATTGTACCGTTCTTCTTAAAATCAAGTTGTCTGAAAAAACAAACCATGTTTAAGTTAGTAGGCTAATATATTACATGAATCTTAATGTCCACATCACTGTACGAAGCTTAAAAAGAAACCCACACTGAATACACTAGAGATTCACAAGCTGAACCAACAAACCACATGATTTAGAAAAATAAATGTTCAGTCTCAACATGTGTCCAAAGCAGTTTTGTAAGTGGCTTTACAAAACCAGCCAGTTCCACTTGCACTCCATTTAAAGGGGGGTGGTTCTGTGAGAACTCCCCAGTCCGAGGTCTGCTGCTAGAAACCCACTTTGGGGGAACATCCGACAGCCAGACCACATGCGACACGCAGACCCTCCACTCAGGGCCTGGCACCTTCCCCAAGCCATCTGGAACTGCCCCGAGTCAACCAATCTGGGGCCTCAGATGTTCCCAAAGCCGATGGACTCAGTTTCCAACTGGAAGCACCAGAGTGTGACAACTTTGATGGAAAGCTATACTGAGCCCAATTATTCAACAGGAAAAGTGATTTTAGGTCACACTCAGGGAAGTGGCTGTTTCATGAAAGAAACTTCACTTAAAGGGGGCAATGCAGGTCCATTAAAATCAGGGGTGGCCAAGATTACCTAAAACCAACCAAGCAAATCAAAACAAGATGCTCAAGTTAACACAACCGACCCCACCACACTTCAATGGAGTCATTGCCTCATTTTGATCCATAGTGCCCAAATTAACTTCAGATTAACAGTCTAGGTAATCAGTGATTCAGAAAGAAAATAAACCAAGTGTCTGTGGGTGACTTACAGAAAACTTTCATAATAGGGGAGCTTTCTCTCTCTCAGCCCAACACTTGGTACCTCTATAAGTTACCCCCAAATCAAAGAACTCAGTGGACACTGAAGATGCATAGTTACCACCCAATCTATGGCCACTAGCTTAGTTGGGGAGATTTAATTCATAAATCAGAGCACTAAAAAAGATCTACAAAAAAACAGAAAATTTAAAGCAAGTCCTCCAATATTGTAAAATTCAAAAAAGAGACACGTCTAAAGCTACTAGAAGATACATTCTTGTTATAGTAACCACTTGGTAATCAGGAATAACGGGGAGAGGAAAGCCATCACCCCCCTTCTAAAAACACATTAAATTGTAGAGTTTTCTATGGGCTTAAATTAGAAAATACTACCAATGTCTCTTTCTTACATCAATTGGCTGATTTTCTTAAATACTTACAGGAAAACATAAATGTCTATTCTGTTACATGTGAACAGAAAGACACGAGCTCAAAGGCAGAGGCTGCAGCGTGCAGGGTCACAGGTAACAGGTACCCAGTGGTCAGAGGCTGCGCGCTAGGACCACGGGCATGAGAAGGAGCTCAGCAGCCCTCAGTGTGCAAAGACTGAAGCACAGATTTTTCCAATTCCAAGTGTTCAGTTCAACACAGACGGAAGTTTTCCGTTCCTGCGATAGGTGCTTTCTCCCTTTAATTCACCAGCGATCACTTGTAGGGTGCAAACCTTTGCCTTTTCTTCACTTAACCAAAAACAAACTATCAAAAATTCTAACTTCTGATTGATCTGAACTCACAGCAGGCCTAAGCCCAAGACAACGGCATTTCTCAGTTGACTGAGCAGACCAGCCAGAAAGCCCCGACGGGAAACGCCCAACTTCTAATGCTGAGTTTCATTTTTAATGTTTCTTTTAAAGCAAACTGCTGTTTCCTCAACTAGGGGTCCAAAAGAGAGGACACCCGGGAGGACTGAGAAGCCCTGAGTGCAGGGCACATGCGTGGGTCTGTGACAAGCACACCCGCGTCTCCCGCAGGCCGCTCGCTCAGCCTCCTCTGCTGCCCGGAGAGGGAGACAGCAGAAAGCCCACCTGCAGCTACCGGGGCCTGGAAAAGAGGCCAAGTCGGTGCTGGCGGGGCTGCCCTCTGGACCACGTCTATCAGGGCGCAGGCAGGGCGGCAAGGCACGGAGAGTGGTCCCAGCCAACGTGCAAACATTAAAAACTTATCTTTCAAGTTTCTCTAATGGCAAGAACACGGAACGGTGCTCACAGACCTTCCACGGGGGCTGGTTCACCTGCCTCACTCTCACTTAAACAACAGAACACACTCATGAACACAAATGGAAAATAAAGCAACTGGAGGAAAAACAACCTGCTGGATACATGGAAATTATTAACTACCTGCGCAAAGTACACGAAGTTCTGCTAATTTACATGAAAACAGGGAAAAAGGAAAAAACAAACAAACCTGGCTAAAGGTCGGTTTATTGTGCAACCGAGAGCATCTGTCTCCATGACGACATGCTCCAATTTTGAAATAGAAGGAACAGTTGACTCTGCAAAGGGAAATAAGAGCCGATTATTTTTCTGGGAAGACATCAAAGAGATGGAAATACGTCATCAACGTGATATATGCTATCAAACCACTTTTCTTTTACTTTACAAAAACATACGCACATCATTTTTTGTTGGTAGCAGGTACCTTCTCCTTCCTGCCTATATTTTAGGACTACAGTCGGTCTGTACCTGCGGGTTCAGCATCTGCAGAGTCAACCAACGCTGGATGGAAAGACCTAGGACAGCTGCATCTGTACCGAACTTGCACAGACTTTTCTTCCTCTCGTTATTCCCTAAACAATACAGTATAACCACTACTTCCACCACATTTACAGCGTATTAGGTATTACAAGTAATCTAGAGATGATTTAAAGTACACGGGAGGATGTGTGTAGGTTACATGCAAACACTACACCATTTTATACCAGGGACTTGAGCATCCGTGGATTTTGGTATCCGCGGGGGTTCTGGAACCAATGCCCGTGGATGCTGGGGGAGGACTGTCCTTAGCTTGAATTTGCCCTTCCACACACACACTACTTTTTCAATAAAGACACTCTGATTCTAACTTGATTCCTCCTCAGTCAAATCCCCTCCGCTCTGAACTTTCTCTGCTCTATTGTTTTTTCTTAAACAGGATGTTAATTTAAAACTAAATTTAACTTGAAATGCACCTGTTCTCTAGTCCTCCACGACGAAATTCTCTCTTGAGAGATAGTGTAGTGAGGGTCAAGATCCTGCCTCTGCTCCCAGCTGCCTGGGCTTGGGCAAGTCACCCTACCCCTCTGTGTGTGTGCGCTTCATACACAGTGCCCATTAAGTGCAATCATGACCTACATCAAACAGAACACAAAGTCCAGGTTCTCTCATCCATGATACCAGACCAACAGGAAATTTCCAAAAACACGTCTGAAATAAATAATTCTCCTGGTTTCAATACAGTAAAAAGCAACTACTGGGGGAGCTCAACCTGACTGGAGGAACCACACAAGGCCACCGTCTGTCCCTACCGCAAAGCTCTCCCTTAATGCTGTTCAAACACCTGGACGATCTGGCAAGTGTGGCAGCAGTGCCAGGTGGCTCAAGAGATCTGCGATGAACTATGAAATCTTACTAGATGGGCCCCATTCACACTGAGACTAGCAGAGGTGGGAAGGTTACCTTGCAGATTCAATTTTTTAGCAAGTGCCATATGTTTAGATAGCCAATCCAGAGTTAAGATCAAAGGGCCTCAATGAAATTTGATGGACCATGAAGATGGATTGGCCACTGATTTATTATTAAGGAGCAATAAAGATGGAAAAATCTGAACTTGTCAAGGGAGGAAAATGATTAGTATATATATTTACAAACTTACAGATCTTAATCTAGATTATCTAACTTGAGTATACAACATTACATCTTCAGGGACTCACCTAAAAATGAAGAACTTATTTTAAAAAATCTCAGAATGGGCAGAATGCCTGCATGAACAACTAATACTCAACTGCTCCACAGAGCTGAAGCAACCCTCGTTCCTGTGCTTCCCGAGGTGGCTTCCACGTCATGATGCCCAAGGAATTATTTAGAGTTTAGTATATTAGTCAAAATTTTTCTAGCAATAAACTTTAGTGATCCGCTTATTTAACTACTGAAATGAAAAGAAAAGTAAAAGAAGATGTGTGATTTACTATCACAGAGATGATGTTAGCTAATCTGCACTTGGATTAGAAAACTGTGCATAACTTCAAATGCATAACTGACAATGTTTTTAATTGTAGAGACACCTATGTTTTACTTCCAGCTTAAATTATAAAAAAGAACAAGTTAGCAGAAATCGTTATCTTCATTTTTTAGGAGGTGATTTTGTTTCTCAGAAACTAAAACCAAATCTCCCTGAAATGAGAATACGAGTGTCCTCGATTAAATAATCAAGTTTCCTGAACTACAGCCATGACTTTCACCATACACTTCTAACAGCTGAAATGTGGTTATTTCTAGCAGGAATATAAAAAATGCTACCGGAATAAACCTCTGAAGTAAGAGTTTTGTAGGGTAACAGCGCAGACACCACCTGATACAGTATTTTATAGGAACAAGAAAAAAGCCCTGCACGGGGCTGGGGCTGGGGCTGGGGCTGGGGCTGGGGCTGGGGCCGCGGCCATGCTGACACAAGCTGCAGAGGGAAACGCTGCCTGCTCTCCAGCCTGCCTCAGAGGAGCCTCTTTTCCCAGCAGAGCCGACCGGTTCAGTGAAGATCACGGTGAAAGGCAAGTTCCCCGAGCTGCCTCCTCTGCATTCAGGGTCCATACCTCTTCCACAGCATTCACAGGGTTTTAATACATCTTACTATAATTATCCTTTACACGACATGCAGGCCCTCCCTCCCTGAGTTCCTTGAAAACAAGATCCACACTCCATCCATCTTTGAGTCCACAGAGACCGGCCTAGGGTTGACACCCAATATGATTCTGGAGCAACTATGACTGATGCTTTTCTTGTGATTTTTGCTAGGAAAAAATATAACCCCCTCATCCCAAGAACACAGGAGACTCTACTGTGTGTAAAAGTAGACATTTTACAAGACAGACTCCATCCTGGAGAACAGAAACAATTTAAACTGTTTGAAAGAGTGGTATTAAAACTATCTTTTACCACTTCTGAGATTTTATCATTAAAGACGTATGTTCACATAAACCTTGCACAGCCCGGCAGAATCACAAGATGGTAACTACTCACTCAAAGAGGAGATTAAGCCAGACCTTTAGTCTTCAGGTTTTCAAAACAAGAATTATCTTCCCAAAATGTCTGAAGACATGCCGTTTAGTCTAAACTTCAGTCAAGGCACTGGAAATTAATACGTGCCAAGATGGCAAGACCAAAATTAAATTTTTTACTTTTAACAATTGATAAGGGAAGGCATGCAACCTTAAAAAAAAGGGGGGGGGGACCACCTAACACCTTTTCCCTTATGTTGGAATTGCATCTTCAAGTATCTTAAAAGCTGATCACGCCTTTCACGGTTGGTTAACCCAGGCGTCTCCCTAACACTTTTTCCCATCAAATGTCCTTATGACCGGCCCGATCACCGCTTACACACGCAAGAGGCTTGTCAATGGGGCAAAACCCCGACAATGAGGAAGCTAAGTGATCGACACTGGCGAGGTTTGTACTACAGCTGCCAGGCGCGACATTAAAAGCTGGAAGTTGGGGGCATCGGGAACATTGACAACTTCGGGACAACTCGAGACGGCCCCAGAAAGCAGGGCGCGGGGCCCGGGCGGCCCACGGACGGGACGGCGGGGGCGGCCGAGGAGCCCCGGGCGGGAGAGGCCGCCGCCCGCCCCAGCGGAAGCCCGCGCCCGCCCTGCGCCCAGCGCCCGCCCGCCCAGCGCCCACGAGGCGACGGCGCGGCTCCCGAGGCCGGAAGGGCCGCCGCGCCCCTCCCCCCGCCCGGCCCGCCCGGGCCTGCCGCCGCCGCCCGGGCCCCGCCGCCGCCGCGCCCGCCGCCTCCCCGGCCCAGAGCCCCGGCGGGCGGCTCTCACTCACTTGTCTTTCTCGGTACCGAAGATGGAGGCCAAGTACTCCGCCATTTCCCACCGGCCGCCGCCGCCGACACCGCTGCCGACGCCGCCGACCCTGCCCGACGCCCGCAGCAGACGTCACCCGGACGCGACGACGCTCGCCCCGCCCCGACGGCGTGGCGGCGCTGCCCAATCAGACGAGACGCTGCCGGCGCGTGGGCGGAACTTGGCGCGCGTGCGCGAGGCACCGCCCCCTCGGCACGGGAGCCCGCGCGCCGCCCGCCGGCGCCCCCTGGCGGCGCGCCCCCGGCCTCGCGCCCGCGCTCTTCGCCCAGCGGGCGGGGTCCGAGGCCTGCGTCCCCTACTTGGCCCTGGATCCCTCGTGGGCGGGTTCGCGGAGCTCCGGGAAAAGCACGCGCCTCGCCCTCCCCGCACTCTCCCTGGGGGACCCCTCCGCCGGTCGAACCCTTCCTCCAGGGAGTCCCTCCTCCACCGCCCGCGGGCCAGGAAGGAAGTCGGGGCGCCCCTGGCCGCCCCCCACGCACTCCCTCTCGGAGCAGCGCCGCGTTGCGGCCCGGACCCGGGGAAGCCCAGCGGGGCTCGGAAAGGCTCCAATCGCCCAGGAAGCCACCCCGCACGTCTCTTGGGGCCGTGCCCCGCGATGGGCGAGGGGCTGCGCTGGGGCGGGGGGCTGCAGGGTATGGGATGGGGATCAGTAGCACCCTGAAATCCTAAAGACCCCGGAAAAGATGGGACACCGGGGGAACGCTGAGGGAAGAGGGGCCTGGATGGGAGCTGAGCACGAGGTTACAGATCTAAAGGGGATGCTAGGTCTTTCCCCCAGGGCTAGCCATTTCCAAGTTTTCTAGTTTATTCTGGGTTTTTTTTGTGTGTGTAAGAAGATATGTATATACGTTTGCGGTCCCTGCTTTCTCTCCACTCCTTTCTGCACCTTGCCTTTTTCCATGTAACAACAGTCCATCCTGGAGATCGCTCCATGGGAGGACGTGCTCCAGGGGCGGGTGGTCCTCACTGCTTTTGTAGCTGCGGGAGCTCCACTGTGTGGATGTTGAATGGTTTATTCAACTAGTCAGTCCCCTGTTGGTGGACATGTGGGTTGTTTCCAGTCTCTGGCTTTAACTAGCAGTCCTGCTACAAGTAGCCCCCTGTATGCATCTTTTTGTATTTGGGACAAATGCACCGCCTCCCTCTTTTGCAGTCTCAAGTCTTTCATAGTTAGACAGATGAAGCAACAGAAGTTTTATTCTTGGATGAGGACTGCACAAAAATGAGTTGTCCTGGCAGAAATGCTTAATATTTTGGTGGACTCTAGTGTGTTAAAACTTGGTATAGAACCCATTTGAGAATGGATTGCACATAAGAAGAAATGATAATCAGATGCTTGTGTATGCCTAAAGCCACTGTGAGGAGCCCTGGGTTTCCTTTGGACACAATTTGAGAACCACTGTTTAGGTGGTGGGTGTCCACTGAAGATTTTATTTTATTTTATTTTATTTTATTTTATGTTTCTTTTTTTTGAGGAGGATTAGCCCTGAACTAACATCTGCCACCAATCCTCCTCTTTTTGCTGAGGAAGACTGGCCCTGAGCTCACATCCGTGCCCATCTTCCTCTACTTTATAGGTGGGACGCCTGCTACAGCGTGGCTTGCCAAGTGGTGCCATGTCCGCAACCGGGATCTGAACTGGCAAACCCTGCGCCGCCAGAGTGGAATGTGCAAACTTAACCGCTGTGCCACCTGGCCGGCCCCCCAATGAGGATTTTAAACAGAGGGGGCTATGATCGTATCTGTACTTCAGAAAGATCACTCAGTGCTGTATAGAGGATGATATATTAGTTTCCTGTTGTTGCTGTAACGAGTAACCACAAACTAAGTGGCTTAAACAACAGAGCTTTATAATCTCACGGTTCCGTAGTTCAGAAGCCTAGGAGCCTCACTTAGTTTCTCTACTCTGGGTCCCGCAAGGCTGCATCACGGGGTTGGCCAGCCTGGGCTCAGGCTCTCAGGGGCTCTAGGGAAGAACTGTTTTCAGGCTCACTCAGGTTGTTGGTAGAATTCAGTTCTACATGGTTGGAGGGCTGAGTTCCCTGTTACCTGCTGGCTGTCGGTCATCTTCTGGTGGCCGCCTGCATTCCCTGGCTCATGGCTCCCTTCAGGAAGGGAGGGTTGAGTCCTTCTCACGCTGTGAGCCTCTCTGCCTCATCTCTCTGCCTCTGCCTCTAGCCAGAGAAATCTTTCTGTTTAAGGGCTCCGATTACTAGGCTGGGCCCCCCTGGAGGACCCAGGATGCTCTCCCTGTGTGAAGGTCTTGTTCATTACATCTGCGGTGTCTTGATGGCAGCCCTTAGTCTAGTGTTTGAACAACCAGGGGCCGAGAATCTTGAGGGGACATCATTAGAGTCCTGCCTGGATTGGAAGGGAACAAGAGACCAGTGAGACAGTGAGAAATGATGGGGCCTGAACTGCGGCGGGGGTGGCAAGTGTAGTGGTCAGAGTCCTGGGCCACAAGTTACAGAAACTGACCACAGATACTGTGATGGGCTAAACTGTGTGTCCCCCCCCCACCCACGTTCATATCATGAAGCCCTGACCCCCAGGACATCAGAATATGACTGTGTTTGGAGATGGGATCTTTACAGAGCTGATTAAGTTAAAAGCAGGCTGTTAGGGTGGGAGCGAAACCAATCCGACTAGTTTGCTTAAGAGAAGTGATTAGAACACAGACGCACACAGAGGGGCAGCCATGAGAGATCACAGGGAGAAGATACCGTCTACACCATCGACAAGCCAATGAGAGAGGCCTCAGGAGGAACCAGCCCTGCCGACAGACTTCCAGCCTCCAGCACTGCACGAGACTACATTTCTGTTGTTTAAAAGGGGTTTTAAAAGGAAATTGGGTCATTCATCATGTCACTGGGAGAGCACTCCTGCTCTGGTCTGGGGAGGACCCACCGGGGCTGCTGCATCTGCACTGTGAGCCCACCCTGCCCCCAGTGACACCAGGAGCTCCGTAGTGTGCAGTGCTCTGTTCCCCGAGCGAGTTCTCACCATCCCTGCCTCTGTGTGTTCCGGCTGGGTGGTGGTGGATTGGCAAGCTCCTGGCCTGTGCTTCTAGATGCTCTTTGAGTGGCCAAGGGGAGAGTGGGCACCTACTAAGGCAGAGAATGGTTGAGGAGGAATGGATCCGGGAGTAGTCCTGGCCTCCGTGGGAGGTTTGTCCATAGCTTTTCCTTCCCTTGCTGCCTGCCCTTGGGTCACCACAGGCGGGGCACATGTTATGACCCACCCACGGTTTTGGGGCTTGGCCCCACTTTGGCCCACCGAATGTGAGCAGACCTAATGTAAGCCACATCTCACGGGAGCTCTAAGTGCTCCTCGGTTTGGGGAAAGAGCAAGTTCCAAGTGTCTGCTCCCCTGCAGTCCGGGGCCTGAATGAGAAGCACGTGGAGCCGGCCTGACCAGACCTGCAGCCTGAATCAGTCTCCCCAGATGCCCTGCAGGCGAGGGAGCCGGGAATATATTTATTTCTGTAAGCCACTGACACCTTAGAGTTGTTTCTCAGCATCAGGGCAGCACTGCTGACTAACGCAGCGTGGGTGTGAATTGCCCGTCAGACATTCAAGTAGAAATGACCAGCAAACATTTGTACGTATCAGTAGACTATCTGATAGAACGTTCTGTGATGGTGGAAATGCTCTATGTCCGTGCTATTCAATACAATAGCCACTGGCCACACATGGCTGTTGAGCACTTGAAATGTGGCTAGTGTGATTAAGGTACTGAATTTTACATTTTATGTAATTTTAATTAATTTAAATTTAAACTTAAGCAGCCATGTGAGGCTAATGGCTGCTGCACTGGACATCATGGGTACATGTGCACCTGAAGTTCAGGGGAGAGCCCAGGTCGCGTCGCATATTGGGACTCATTAATATGTATCGAGTTAATGTATATAAATGCATATGGAACCCTGGAACATGTATACAAGATTTTAGTATATATGTGTTTTCCTGGGGACAAATAGTCCATAATTTTGTCAGATTCCCAAAGAAGTCTTTAGCCTCAAAATTCAAGAGGACCTCGAAGGTCCTGGATGTTGTCTGTTGGTTAAGGACCCCAAATATTGAGAGAGCAGATCAAGGGTCGGAGCCCCAAGGGACAGCAGTGTTTGGGGGGCAGCCGCAGGACCCCTCAGAGGAGCCTGGGCAGTGACATCTGGAGGAAGAGAGCCAGAGTCAGGAAGCCAGGGGACCAGATGGCCTCAACAGCAGCTGTCACAGCAGAGAGAGCAACAAGATGTGGCTGAGAAGTGAGCTATGTGACAGGACCATGGGTCTTCTTGGCTGGGAGGGGCTGTATGCTGAGTGCCAGGATTTGGATGAATTCACCTGTTAGAACAGCATCTCTCTTGGCAACAGAGCATCCCCCACCTGAGGAAGAGCTGGACCAGCAAACCAGAACTTCCCTTAGGAAGAGCAGAGACTCAGAGTTGAGCCAGATAAGTGACAAGACAGAAGCCAGTCCAGCGGGTGGTATGGCGTCCAGAGGGTGCAGCAGCAGGACACAGTCCAGGGAGGATGACTGCTGAAGAGTTGGAAGCTGGAAATAGGGTGTCACCTGTGGAGACCCTGGGAGAAGGGGTAGAAGGCAGGGGTAAGATCTGTGCATGGAAGCTGAACTGAAATACAAGACTCCATCACAAAGAATTAATGTGGTTGCTAGAACCAGGGCCATGAGCATCATTCCTTCATCCACCCATCCAACTATCCGTCCATCCATCTGTCCATTGGTTTGTCCATGCATCCATTTGTCTGTACATCCATGCGTGCATCCATTCATGCATCCATCAGTCCATCTATCCGCCTGTCTGTCCTTTCGTCCATCTGTCCATCCATCCATGTGTCCATCCACCCACCCATTCATCCACCCATCCACTGCATAGGTTGCCCTTGGTTTTCTGATTCCCTCACTCTCACATCCATTCTAGTTCATTGGCTTCTCTCAACCATCTCTGTTCCTTTTGGCCATGCCTTGGTGCACCTGGATCACCACAACAGGACCTATACTATCATCTTAGTTTGTTCCAGCTGCTATAACAGG